TCCACTTTCAGCATCATATTAGCACTCAAAAAGTGTCAGAGTTGGAACATTTGGGAACTGGGAATTTGGGATTAGGGATGCTCAACCTATAATGTAAAATACAGATCTCCTAGCAAGAGTAATAGAATCATGTGTGAGAATTCTAACTAGGACTTAATTTGCTCTCAAAACTTGGTATTTTTTGAACACCACTCATATTATAAAGTATGCTATTTTATAGAGTTATTAATGTTTATTTTATTTGTAAGACTGAGTTCCATTAGCATCAGGGCCAGGAACACATACTTAGTATGTGGTAACAGCTACATGCCAGCCTGATCTAATCAGAATACAACTAACTTTCTCCTCTGTCCTCTTGGCCCATTCTGGAAATGGCCTTGACCTTGGAACTCCATGTATCGGCTTTTCTCCTCTTGCTTCCAATTAATTTAAGTGCATTCCTTCAAACCAGTAAAGTCTCTGTGATGATGGGGATTTCTCAGAAGACAATTGTAATTTTCCTAATTTCTCTGTTGATTTTTCTTATGATTCAGGATTCAGAAAAACATCGTATTTCCCAAGAAATACAATGTCAGGAAACATTTCCAAGAATCTCAGGGACTAAAGTGAAGTAAGTCTGCCTCTAATTTTTTTTTTTTTGTCCAGCAGAGTGTCTATTCAATAGGCAGTGTATTATAGGCACTCCAATGTTTGTTGAAAGAGTGAGTAAACAAATAAATTTGTCCCTATATATTTATATTGGAAATAATGCTTCTTTCCGCTAGGGTTCTTGTGTTATTACATGTTGCTTTGTCTTGTATCTATTTATGTGCCTTTTTTTTTTTTTTTTTTTTTTTTTTGCTTTCCTATGAGCTTGGTGAACATCAACCTGTGGATGGGGTCCCTACTGTCCATTCACTTATTCCCCCAGCATAGAGAAGGCAGCCCTACACCAAGCACATACTCATCAGCTATTTGATGATCTCACAATGAATAAAGGAAGCCTTTAATCATATCAGCATGTTTATATATGATCATATCAATGTGTTTAAACTAAATCCTATCCCAAAATTTTAAATTTCCTATCCTGTTCAAGATAACGTATGGTCTGGTCTAACTTTTTTTCTTTTTTAACAAAAGGGAGAAACTTCCCAGTAATTCCCTTCCCCCACCACAACAAGGTCTTCTATTATTTTAAATAGTTTTAAATAATTTATCACCATATCTTCTATCAAGTACATCTTTCTTTCTATTTCTCTAAAATCTATAATGAAATAGCAGTCTCTATTTTACTTTGCAGTACAAATTGTTTTGTAGGTCAAATTTTTTCCCTTCTTCTCTATACCTCCCTCATCTTCTTGCAAATGTAAATGTCTTCCCTAACATTATCCACATCTTGACTCCTTCGCACCTTTAATTGTGTTACTATGGATTGTATTTTTATTAGCTCAAAAGCCTGCTGAAACCCTTCTTAAAGGTCATTTTGCTAATAGGATTTGCCTGTTTGCTTCAAATCCAGCCTAAACACTATCAGCTCATGATCACACTGCCCCAAGTTAGCCATGCTTTCTGCTTTCCCTCTGAAACCATTGAACTACATCTGCAGTTACCCTACTTGTTTGATCTTTCCTGTGATAATTGACTCCAAGACACTTTAAGTATAGATTTTCAGCTGTACTTTAAAAACTATTTGTCAGAAACAAAATATTGGTCTGTGGTCTTAGATTAAAACACGACACTGAAACAGCATTGTATATTTTATATGGCTAGGATTGAAAGTGTTTGATTATTTTTCTTCATGTTAGGACCAAAAAGAACATTAAAATTCAGGTATCTCTCTCATCTCATTAAGTTTGTGTCTAAAGTCTGTCATGCTGGCGTTCTAAAATAAGGTCGTGCTACTGCTCTAAATGTACCCAGTGGAATGTGGACACGAAAGCAACTCAAAGCGCTTTCTCTGGCCTTTACAGGAACACATACAGGCTCTCCTTTGAATAGCAGACATTTGACACCCTGTCTCCTTGAACTTATACTTCCATTTTACGTCCCCCTCAACATTTTAAATGTATTACATACTTATGCTTAAAAATATTTCATTATCTTATCTCTCTGTAATAAAAATTCATACTTAACTTTTTTAAAAAAAAATTTTTGGCAGTGCTAGGGATTGAACTCAGGCCCAGGACCTTGTACATTCTAGGCTGGCACTTCACCACTGAGCTGTGTCCCCCAACCCATAATTGAATTGATTTTTTAAATTCCATATGGCCAAAAGCCTCTAAAGGTTAAAATTTTAACTCTGTATTACTTTATCCAATATTATTAATTCATAATTGTTTAATATATCACAACTAAAATAGAAAACATGATAATTATTAAATGTAAAAGCTTATATTTTGATAAGTGCAGCAAGTTTCAATTATGTGTTTAGCTATCTGTGGCTGAATCTTATTACCTTTTGTTTAGAACAATGAGACAGCATGAAGCACCAATTCTATTCCTCCTATCACTTTTATATAGATTACCCACATAAATGAGAATGAAGTATCCCTGTTATAGCAATGACTTAATTCTTGGAACTCTGAAGTTACCAGGACTTATCACAAAGTGATCTATCATCTTACACATTTTTTAATGATCTACCAGCTGACAAATCAGCCAGGTCCTCCTCTAATTTGGTCAAAAGCAAATAATTTAAACATCCATCATTAGAGTTAACTGGCATTACAGCCATTTACTTTCAGAGTTTTGTAGAAGTAAAACAAAAATTCTCTACCAAGAGTTACCAAAGGACCATGTCTTATACCTCACACTCTTTCACTTACAGGCATCTTGTCCAGTCTACTATACTCAGAGTAGGGAAAATTACCTAAACAATATCATTTTTTATATGATGATTTTTATCAGTCTCTGTGTGTGTGTGTGTGTGTGTATGCGTATACACACATACAAGTTTATCAAAACCTTGGGCTTAAAGGTTTAGAATTCTGTTTGTGGAAAATAGCCATCATACAACCTGATTGCCCAAATCAATTCTCAGTATCAAACCAATTAGTCAAATCATATTTCTTAGGTCAGTTCAAATAAACATACTACTGTGCATCTCTGCAATTATTGAACTTCTGAACTTAGAACATCAACAGGAGCCACCAATCCATATTTCTAATACCATGTTGTATTCTTCATAGAAATACACATTATGGTTTGGATGTGAGGTGTCCCCCAAAAGCTCATGTGTGGGCTGAGATTGTAGCTCAGTGGTACAGCACTTGCCTAACATGTGTGAGGCACTGGGTTTGACTCTTATAGCACTGCATATATAAATAAAGGTCCACCACCACCACCAAAACCACCACCACCACAAACAACAACAACAACAACAACAAAATATATATATAGTGTTTAAAAAAGCTCATGTGTGAGACAATGCAAGGTTTAGAGAAATGATGAGCCTTAACCCAGTGAATTAATCACCTAATGGGATTAATTGAAGGCAGGTGGGGTTTGGCTAGAGGAGGTGGGGCATTGGGGGAGGGGCTTTGGGATATATTTTTTTATCTGGCAAGTGGAGATCTCACTCTCTGCTCTCTGATCATCATGTGACCTGCTTCCCTTCACTACATTCTTCTGCCTCACCTCAAGCCCTTAGGAATGGAGGCTGCTGTCTATGGATTGAGACCTCTGAAACTGTGAACCCATAAATAAATTTTTATTCTTCCAAAATTGTTCATGTCAGGTCTTTTAGTTGCAGCAGCGAAAAAGCTGACTAAACATATAAGACAGGAAGAGATCACAAGTTCTTTCCTCAATGTATCATGTATTAATTGAAGGAAGCCTCCTGACCCCAATAGATCTGTTCCTTTAGAAGGAAACTCGGGGTATGTATGCCTCAGGCATGGTAGATTCTGATGTATGACACCAGTATTCCTGATTTGGGGGTTTTTTGTTTGTTTGTTTTCCTTTTTGGTACCAGGGATTGAACTCAGGGTGCTTAACTATTGAGCCACATCCCCAGCCCTTTTTAATTTTTTTTTATTTTGAGACAGGGTCTCACTAAGTTGCTTAGGGACTCGCTAAATTGTGGAAGCTGGCTTTGAACTTGAAATCTTCCTGCCTCAGCCTCCCCAGCCACTGGGATTATAGACATGCTCCTACACCTAGCTCTTATTTTTGTCTAAATGAGAGAAGGGCAGGTGAGAGAATAAGTTAAGAAAAGAGAACCAATGTGCAATCTTCCCTGTTGGTGTGTTCTTACACAGATCGACTTTGGGAAAGTGTCTGGATGCCAGCTAAGGCTCTGCAAAAGACTCTTTTAAAAAAACTGTGGGGCCATGTACTCTTGGAAAGACATCCTCTGCCTCCAGCAATGCACATGAAATAAACTATCTATGGGAGTTTAACAATGCCACCTCAAACGGTGCATAATTAAGTAAATATTTTAAAGGTGCCATAGATCTAAACTATCAATAATTTCAAAACAAAATTTTTCAACAACTACAAAATAACTACACCCCTTATTAAATAACTTGGAAAACAATTGGTAAGTCTCCTAAGTCTCTTTCTAACATTAAGGATGTCACTCTAACTGTTTTTGGTCCTCCTTCAGCTCTTAAAGTTCTGCTTCACAAATATTATAAAGCACAGGGAGCAAAAGTAAAACAGAAATATAGGGCAGGAATAATGACTTAGCATGACAAGTATCTCAACATGCCCCTTGCTGTTTAAAGACACATTAGGATTTAAATTTTCTGCAAATAAAAAAACTAACCATGTACTAGTACTTGGACTAATAATAGTGGCTATTTTAAAAAGCAGTTAAATCCTCAAGGTGCAAAAAAGTCAATTTGAACATTCAAAAAGAAAAGTGGTCAAGCAGAATGATTTTTATATAGAGATAAACACTTCAGTAGAGCTTTGAATTCACCTGGTTTTGAAAGGAAGAAAAAAAAAGATCATTTAAGCTGATACATACAAATACATTTGTTTTGGTTGTTATTTCATTGAGTTCCAATTATACTCACCGCCTCTGTGTGAACAGGATGCACAGCAAAAAGTAATGCCGTAACAAAAGCAAGTCCACGATTCTTGAAGACGGTTTTATCACAGGTGTACATCAGCACGAGGGTCACTAAGCAGTGTAAAATTACATTTACTGCGTGAAAGTAGAATGGGTTCATGCCAGTCAAAAATATGTTTAGCCTGTAAAAAAAAAAATTAAATTAAAAAATAAAAACCTGTACTAACTTCAAACACAACACAAGCACAAAGAAAGCAGACAGACTCTATCATTTATACAGATAAGCTATTTGAGTAATTATTTTTAAATGACTCCCAACATTTCATTATTTGATAGATTTGAGTATGAACCACTTTTTTTACTATCTCCAAATTAATTGTCCTATCTGCAGAAATCAATGCATTTATAATACAATGTCACTTCAGGAAACTTTTGCCTCTCTGAGGCAGCAAAAGCAGGTGCTCAACCTGTTTTTCCTTCACCTGGTGGATGATATGAACCCCTCTCATAATATTCTTGTTCTCACTGCCAGCTACTCCAAAGTGGCCAAGTGTTCAAATGCAAGTTCACAGTGCTGTGCCACATTCACTGCAACCAGTCATGAATGTGTTCTCTCACCTATGGTGCCACCAGGAACCACATTTCCATATTATGCATGTGACAGCATCATCTAATTACTATCCCACAAGGGGATCTTGGGGGCATTACATGCTATTATCAGCTGCAGCTGAAATAAAAAACATGAGCAAAACCATAATGTTTCAGAAATCTGTACTAGATGTTTTTAATGCAGATTCCCAGATCTCAGAATCTGATTATTAAGACTATGACAAAGAAACAAGAAGAGAACCACGTAGAGAAGAGAAGTCAGTTGTTGAACATCATAAAAAAAAATATTTTCATGAGACAGAAATGCAGAACAGAGATATCTGAAGGTTGTTTTAAATTTAGTAACATAACATATGATTGAGTCTGTGGGATTATAGAAAAAAATGCACTGGTCAGGGTCTAGATGTTTTAGAGGAACATACACACCCTTAGTCTCCAGTCCATCTTACAAAAGAAGTAACCCTAGGTCATTCTTCACATGCCCTTGATCTTCTTCTCTTACAGAAACAACTCCTCTTTGCCAAAACCACCCAGACTGCACAAGTCAGCTCTAGAGATGACATATGCATATTCGAAATACTTGACTTGATTCATGCACAGCTTTCACCTACAGAATTTTAATCATCTCAAGCTTTATTCGGGCATATGAATCCAAATGTCATAGTTACTAATCAACTCTTCCTTCACTCCCACTCCCAACAAAGTAACCATAATTCAAAACCAAACCTGGAAAACATGGACTGTTATATGGGATTCAACTAAGGGCATTGATGCAAGGTTGGACCCAGCTGTGTGTAGGCAGATCCATGAGCCTGCACACACCAGCACCCTTTCTACAGAAGCATGGTGGGTAATAATCCAAACAAGGGGAAGAGGAATGGGCAGTAAACTAGGGAAACAGGCAGGTTCAAATAAAGCAAGAACAGCACCACATTCCAAGGAAGGAGGACCCCACATGTAGTGTCAAAGTTGCCAGAAATCAGAAAGCTCCAGTCTGTAGATGTAAGAAGGTAAGACCAAGGTGTGGTTCTCAAAGAGGTGGATACAGTTCCTATAAGTCCATCCTCCTGAGGCTGATTCCTCACTGAACATTCTAAAACAACTAAACTATCCATTTAAAATTCATTCATATCAGTGATGATGACGAGAGAAAACAGCATCTCACAAGCATTTTCTGGGTATCCAAATTGGATCTCTGACAGACAATTTGCATCAAAGCCTTTAAAAAGTGTATACTCTTTGACAAAAATTTTCATTTCTAGAGATTTTCGTGAGGAAATAACCAGAAAAGTATTCAAAGATCATGTGTGCGCAAAAATGCATCTCACCATGCTAATTATAAAAATGGCAAGATCTATTAAAAAGTCTAAAATGATGAAGAACGAATTCTCCAAACTTCAGTCAAGTTACCTTGAGACAAAATGCTAACAAATTTTTAGGACATATCCCGTTTGCAAGAATCGAAAAAAAGATCTGATTCTGGGAGCCAACAGGGGTTCACAAAAAGAGGACTTAACTGATGAACCTCCTAATTTAATAGAAGCAGGAGTGTGATAGATAGATCACATCTTTATTTTAACAAAGACATTTATCAAAATCTCCTGCAATCTCCTTGCCCAGAAGATAGCCTAAGATGGATCTGTAGCAAACATAAAGAGTGGTGTAATAAATCAATGCCTCCTTGGACTGAGATCTCCTCTGTATGTCACAGCTTTCCAATATTATCTCTGCTTTGTCCAATATTTTTATCAAAGATTTAAGTGAAACTAATATGTATGCTTATCAAGATTATAAAAATACCTGTATTGAGGAAGGAGTGCTAATATGCTGGAAGACTGATTGATATTCACAGAGTTTAAATGGGTGAAATTATGAATTTTAATAGGATTAAACTGAATAGTGGTAAGAGTAAAGAGGGGATGTAAAACAGAACAAAATGCTGCCAATCCAGATTAAAACAGTGTACCTGGTACTGCCCAAGAGTTTTTAGTTCCCCTCAACTCAGAGACTCAGTGTGTCCTGGGTAAATAGACCAAAACATCAACAAAAAGACAGGGTACTGCTGGGTAAGGTAGCAAACACTGTAATCCCAGCGGCTCTGGAGGCTAAGGCAGGAGGATCCAGAGTTCAAAGCCAGCCTCAGCAACGGCGAGGCGCTAAGCAACTCAGTGAGACCTTGTCTCTAAATAAAATACAAAATAGGGCTGGGGATGTGGCTCAGTGGTTGAATGCCCTTGAGTTCAATCCCCAGCAAAAAAAAAAAAAAAAAAAAGATCGGGAAATGTACAAGTCAAACTCTTTTTCATTTCAATGTACTCCAACAAGACTTACCAAACACCTATTAGACATCAGGAATGGTTCAGGGCTCAGAGATACAAAGAGAAGATAGGGCATTTGCTTTTAAATGGATGACCACATACTAGGAGCAAGAGAGGCAGTTAGTCAGATAAGTAATAGTGACAGAATTCTAGCAATGGAGAAACTACCAGGTGCAAAGATTTTGGAGAAGGTAATATTCTACCTGTGGACAGGAGAGACAAGGTGGGTGGAATCCAGCATGGAACAGGAGACCTCCAGAGTGCTTCTTAACCCTAGAGCACCTTCACAAGAGGGCTCTAGGCGTAGAGGAGGGAGAAGCTCTCTGTAATGAGATCTCAGGAAGGTAGGTTTGTGGAAGGGGGTGTTCAACCTGGGGATAATGACAGAGAGAAATGATACCAAGTTCTCTGGGGGGGAAGATCTTGGTCATATTTATTGCTCAACCCCAGTGTCTAACACACTCATGGTTGTAGCACAATATATTTTTTGTATGAATAAACATGACAAACAAATGAAATACTGAAGCAAGGCACTTACTCTAAGTAGCTCCCCAAAGGGAAAGTAAGATCCAATAACAACATTGTAAACAGGCTGTCTAAGAGCCAGGTTTAGCCAGTAAATTGTTTTGTTTCACCTTTATATCTTTTTTCTTTGTAAAATTTACCAATATTTTACAAAACCGATGGTTATTTGGATAAATTTCCTGTTCACCTTGAAACGTTATTGGACCTGGCAACTCTGGGGTTATATGGGTATGCAGAAATATTTGGGTGCCCATTTCAATAAGACAAATGTTCACAATTTGCCATAGTCTCTGCCAATTTCTACTGTATTCCTAACCTGATGCCATTCATCTTTCATCATACACACACACACACACACACACACACACACACACAATTTTTCTTTTAGTAAAAAGAGAGTGCAATGTTTCTTGGGCCTATATTACTATCACAAATGGGAAATCAAAAGACAGTCAAAATGACTGTTTGAAGAAAAATGGAAGATAGTATATTTCTGGAAGAGGAGGATATTCCCATATGCCTACTATGCAAAATTCTATATGTCAAAGAATATAACCTCCCATCCGGCTCAATTCACTCAATTACCACATCAGCCAACCCTTTCAGGATTTGAGTTTTCAGCCATTAGTATACAAAATACTAAGAGGACTTAGCTCAAAAAAAGAATTAGCACTTAAACTGGTAAACATCTGCACATTTAAACTGTATCAAGTGGGGCATGGTAGTACACACCTGTAATCCCACTGGCTCAGGAGGCAGCAGGAGGATCCGGCCTCAGCAACTTAGACCCTGTCTTCAGTGGGAAAGCACCCCTGGGTTCAATCCCCAGTACCACCAAAAAAATAATAATAATGTAATAACAATTAAACTAGATCGACTGCTTTGATAAGCAGAAACATGCACACAGAAGTTCCAGGCAGGATGACAGTCCACCTGGAAAAAATTCTTAACAGAAGTATCTCAGGTTGCACTTCACCCTGAAGGTGCCTCTGTGATGGCATTTACCACTTTCCTAAAATTCACTAGCTGTATTACTCAAAAGTTATGAGCATTTTTTATTGATTGTAAGAAGCTAATTTCTTTCCATTAACATATCCAACCCGCATAGCACACACTAGATTCTAAATGAAAATTTACTGAATGAACAGATGAATTTATATAATGTTAGAAGCTGAAAAGAGCGTCATTCCTTTTCAACCCTAAGAATTTCTCATTTTTATTTGGTTTAGTCTTCATTTTTTTTTAATTTAAAACTAGGCCAAACAGTAGGAAATAAAAATATTTTTTTCTGAAATAATCCTAATAACCATCTCTGTCTGCAAACCTTCCACAGTTTGGCAAATATGAGCACAAATCAACCCTTCTCCATCTGAACTCTCTCTGCCTTCTTGTAAAACTGCCCAGAAAGGTGGGGCAGTAAGCTCACAGAAATCAGAGTTGATGGTTTCCAGCATGGCTACATCCATTCCCAGGAAAGGTCACAGGATCTGGAACCAAAGGGGACGCAAGGGAAGGGCTCTGAGTGTCTGCCTCTGGGATCTCACAGCCAGGAGCTCTCTGCTTTGAAAATGGCTCTGATTCAGACAGACAGACAGACAGACAGACACACACACACACACACAGGCTGTATCCCAGAAAGAGACTTATACTGGGGGGTGGGGAGGAAGTCCTCAGAAAGATCCCAATCCCATTTCAATCAATCAGCTCCATCTTCACAAGCTGGCACAGGT